TGGGCCGAGCGGTTTACACGTCCCAAAGGTCCTTGCTCCACACCAAGGTGGCCCCCAGGTACAACAGTGCACGCACGTACGTACAGACGACACCCTGGGTAGGGCAGTGGCCGACAAACTGCGGCTCACGAGCCACATGTGGCTCTTTGGCCTCTTGAGTGTGGCTCTTTCACAAAATACCAAGGCCTGGGCGAGTCTATTTTAAAGAAGTGGCCTTAGAAGAAGTTTAAGTTTAAAAATTTTGGCTCTCAAAAGAAATTTCAATCGTTGTACTGGTGATATTAGGATCTGTGGACTAATGAGTTTGCCGACCACCGGGGTAGGGGAATGTCCAGGGGCAGCTGTCAGTTCCACTGCAATTCTAAAGATTTCCAAGGCCAAGAGCCGGCACTGTCGGGGTGGGGGAAAGCTTTGGAGAGCAGGCCCTGCTGCAGGTGACAGAGGTCTCTGTGTATGGCCCGATGGCCTCACACCGCGCAGCGCCTTCCTGCCACCTCCAGGGGCTCAGACGCCGAGCGGGCGCCCAGGATCCCTGATAAAGGCCTTTGTCCGGCGCTGGCAGCTCTGCTCGCCCAGCCGGGCTGGAGGCGTGCGGCCCTTTGCACCTCTCCCGGGCAGGTGCCCGCCCGCCAACCGGGGGTGGGGGTGGGGGAATTAAGTTTTCAAACGGACTCGAGGACAAAGGTGTCGTTTTGCACGCCGTTAAGCAGAGAACAAATGTAACCCTATAGCCCAACGGCTTGGCCTGATGCACAAGGCTCCTCCCTGTCCCAGCGGCCACTGGCGACCCTGGGTAACCGTCCCGATCCCTTACTGACGGCACTAACCCGAGCACCAGGGCTTGGGGACCTACGTGAGTGACAGCATCTAAGTTTTCTAAGCCTCTCATTATTCCCAAGGCACCACCGGCACACATGCAAATTACCGTGTGCGGAACGCAGGGAAATATGCCGGTCTGCTGAGCCCCCTTCCACACAGCTTTTTCCTTTCCTTTTTTTAACCACAGCAAACACAACACAGAAAGAGGCTCTGGAGCCATTTCAGATAAGACTCCATTTTACGCGTTTTCGTTCGCAGACAGGCATGTGTTTGCATAGCCCTCGAGCTCCTGCTGGAGGTGGTGGGAACCCTCCCAGGGTGCCCGCGGCTGGCATTTCCTGACCCCGTGCAAGGCCCGCCTCGCCCCTGCGCCACGCGGCCCTCAGACCACAAGGAGATGCATCGTCTCACGGGGGCACCTGGATGCAGAGACTGGCAAGCAGGAAGGAGAGAACGGCGAGGGGCCCCAACATGCCTTTCACTGTCATGTCCCTTACGCATTTTTACACTTCACGCCCCGGAAGAGGCAGGCAGAAACAGAAGGCACCATGGGGAGTGTTGGTTATGAAGTCAGGGCGTCTTCCTAACTTGAGAGTTTTGCTTCTCATGGTAAGTAAATGGTTCGCAAGCCAGTTTCTCCTCTGCTTTTGTTCACCCTCGCCAGAGGATATTTTTTCCATTGATTTTTAGAGAGAGTGCAAGGGAGAGGGAGAGGGGGCTGAGAAAGACAGAAGAGGAGAGAGAGAAAAAGAGAAAGAAACATCAGGTTCAATCCCTGGGCTAGGGATTGAACCTGAGACACAGGTACATGCTCTTGACAGGGACTAGAACCCGAGACACTTTGGTACAAAGGACACGGCTCCAACCACTGCACCACACCGGCCAGGGCCCCTTTGATTTTACATAAAGAACCGTTTCCTCCTTAGGATGGTTGAACTTGAGCAGCAACATTGAAAAACAATGCTATAAAAACTCACAGCCCTACTGTTAGGCTTTGCATGGGGAACCCAACTCCAAAGAACCTATCAGCTGGTCAGAGGCGCACATATATATTTCCTTCCTTGTGTGGAGGCAGTCTTACGTGATCATGACGAGGAAACAAATCACAGCCTGTCACCACGTTTGTTCTCTCATCTTGGACACTGCCAGGGGGTCCACGCGGGAAACCAAAGATCAGTAGCATTCTGCTGCGTTTCAAAATCAAACCCTTGTATTTTTTTAGATCTTTTAAAAAGGCTACATCCTGTAACAAAAGCAACAACAATGATATAGTTATAAGTGGACCCATGCTCCAGGCAGGCAATTCTCTGTTGCTCCTGGATTTTAAATGAACGAGAAATGGAGTAGAACTCAAAAGACAGGGGAGCCAGGGGCAGGAACAACAGTGAACAGGATGGCGAGGACTGTTTGGCATTAAGCCTGCTCCCCAAACGGGCAGACTCCACCGGTCCTTCTCCTGGTTTATCACGCCCACGTTCTTGGAAAAGAAAAGATGCTCATTAAAGAAGAGGTGGAGACTAGGATGGGAGGGGCAGGAGGGGAGAGGCGAGCGGTAGGAGGAAGAAACCAAAAACTTTTAGCCCCGGCCTAAGCCCCAGCTCTTCCCGAGCGAAGGTGAAGCTGACAGGCGTGCTTTTCATTACAGACCATCAGACGAGTCACACAAAGGTTACATATATGAATCAAAGACCGCATGCATGTAGTGATCTGCCATGCTGGTCCATAGCTTAGATGTCCACAGTGCTGAACACTGGTTATAAAGAGGGTTAGCTCCATTGCTGAGCCCTATTTACACGATGTTTGCGTGCATGTATTCATTCACTCATTCATTCATTCATTCATTCGGTCAATGAGCAGAGTGCTTGTTGTGAGCCAGGTGCTTGGAACCGAAAGACCACAACCCATAAAATTCAGACTCGAGTCCAATAAACAGAATTAAACCCTGATCCATGCTGTGGGGAGGGTATGAATGTAGGTTATACATTCCAAGGGGGGGCGGGTTGTGAGGAAGAGATGCTCCAGGGAAGTGACCGCTGAGCAGAGCGGAGCGGAGCAGAAAGGGTTTCCAGGCGAACAGCACAGCTATGCTCACGCCTTAGAGTAGAAGACACGAGGACAGGGTGCCGGTGAGGTCTGAGATGCTGGCAGGGGCAGGCTGAGTGGGTGGAGCGGGCTACAGCCAAGAGGGGAAGGGAGAGTCCTTGAAAGGGACGCAGAGAGGCACAGGAAGGCTGGGAGAAGCCAGCCGTCTCGCAGGCCAGGTGTTGGCAAACACTTCCCTCGAAGGGCCAGACAATAAATGTTGCAGGCATTGTGCGCCAAGAGGAGAAACCAAGGATTTTATGTAAGTGCTATAAAAAGAAAAGTTCCACTGGACTATGGACTTAAATGTCTTTCAAGAAAAATAATTCCCTAATAAAATTAAAAATTTTATCAGAATTAAAAATCCTCTTCTGAGCTCTACTATTAAATATAATAGATAGCGAATGTCATTGTGCTTTTAAACCACCATTCCATGTCTACGTTCCATAACGGGCATAGTTATAAATATAATTTTTAATTACCTCTGTGGCATAATGCAAGTTTTAATTACCAGCATGACCTAACACATTTCACATAGTGCTCATAAGATCGAATTTTTTGCTAGAATAAATGGCATTGCTGTGCACATCCTTGGATACATTCCTTTTGGTTCCTTTAGGGTTAATCCTTATATAAGTCTCAACAATAAAACCACCGGATTTCCAGGGGAAAAGGATGACACGTTTAAGACCACTATTTTCTGCCGGAGAATACTCCAGAAAGGGCCGCTGAACACAGAGTTCCAGGTGCTGGTGTGTCACCAGCAAAGCTTTAAAAAAGGGCTTATTCCCCCAAATCCCCAACAATAAGGGTTTTGACAAGTTGACTCATTCTGGCGAAGTTTACGGGTGCATTGTGGCATCTGAAGTGATTATCAGTTGCATTTCTTGGTGCTAACCATTCTGTGTAAGACTCCTGTGACAGTTTCATGTATGCTTCCTTTACTTATAAACTGTCCCTCTCCTTTATCCCTTGTGGGGCCAAGTTCATCAGTGGAACTTCCAACTTCCCCCTACACTTTCTATGTATTGGCCAGAGAGCTTTCCTGTGTAACTCATCTATGTGATTTCTTCCCACTGTTTTCCAGGCAAAGGTTCAGGCAGGGCTCGGTCCGTGGGAGTTCAGACACGGTTGTCGTGCAAAGGTGGCATCAGAGGGGGTGACGTCTCAGGCATACTGGTGCTCTACGGTGGCCTGTGGCCATGCATGGGGGACCTCATAACCAACACTCCCCACAGTCTCGTCATCCGCACACCTGAGGTCATGTCCCCACACCTGGGGAGCAGAGTGCAGAGCAGGGGAGGATGGCCGGTGAGGCTCAGTTCCCGGCTTGGCTGACTTGGCCCAGAGCATCCCTAGCAGCCCTGCCTCTGCGTGCCACATCGCCATGGCATCCGTATCTTCCACCTTCCACTGAGAACGGGAGCCGTCTGTGGCCAAACACCCTACTGGGCACAGAAGAACCCTCTACAACAAAAAGGATCTGGCCCCACATGCCAGTGGGGCCCACGTTGAGAATTCCTGTTCTCTAAACCACCACCCTCTCCGTGCCTCTCCTACCCTCCGCCCAGACCAAACTATTAAACTGAGAGAGAGCATCCGGCCACACCGGTGACGTGGCCTGGTGTGGACAGGGACATTTCCTTTAGAGATTTCTATTTCATTGTGGCGTTTCGTAGGACACTTCTCTGACGTGGGCCCAGCACCAGGCAACTGAAGCCCAAGCCATGGTGGTCACCATAGAATGACACACTGGAACTGGGCTTTGCAGCACGCCCCACTGGCTGCCCACCTCCGAGCTTCCCAGTGAGAGGGAAGAGCCGATGAGGGAGCTCAGGAAGCCGGCATGGAGCAGCAGGAATCAGAAGAGAAATTACCCAGAGGCCTGTAGACAGATGACACTGAGGTGTGTGTGGCCACGGACTAGGCAGAGAAAGACCTGCCCAGCCTCTTGGGGAATCAGACCAGCCGCCTGAGATGCCACCTGTCACAGGAGAGCTCAGTGGTGGCTGGTTCCGAGAACGTGCCAAACCTCCTGCTCAAGTGTGCTCAGAGCAGCTAACGCTGGACGGTCAGCGAGACAGAAAAACAGGCCTTACCGGGGGTGCTGATGGCGGGGGAGGGGGAGGTGCTCCCAGAGGCGGGGGAGGCGGAGGCAGAGGAGGAGGTGGAGGTGGAGGTGGCGGTGGAACTGGCATATGTCACAGCGTTGGTGTCTCTTGCCTGTGAACGGTCCCAAGAGAATGGTTTCTGCTCTGAAAAGGAGAGAAGAGAGTGTTAAGTGTGAACGTCTTTATTCATGCACAGGTAATTCATGTCACACAGATATATGGATATTATGGGCTCTTCCTTCCTTCCTGTCTCTCTTCCTCTCAATAAATACTGTCTATTGTGAGGCAGGCATTGTGCCAAGTGCTGGAGACTGAAAGAGCAGCCGGATTCTGGAGAGAACTGGGTGACGGAACCGATAAAACGCAGCTATTTCTGTATCGAAATTAATAGAACACATAAATAGCAACTCCTCATTCCATGATCTTTCCAAATAACTGACTTCTGCCTCCTTCGCATTACACTTTTATCGTTTCTGACGCATTTAAAAAATTATTCTGTACATGTTCCCCGCTCCCCGAGCAGAGCACACGGAATGCAGTGTAACCTTTTCTGCAGGTCGCGGGCGCCACGTTCCTCATGGTGCCAGCCCCGAGCAGGGCCCTAAAGGGCATCCGTCACTCTCCTGCTCCCGCCTCTCCCCGCAGCTCTTTCTGTATCGTGTCCCCCTGTGGCTTCCATACAATCGTCTGGATGGGGGCACAACCCTTCTCTGCAAAAGCGTCAAATCTGGTTTGCTACACTGAGGGCTTCCTGCTGCTGTTCTGCAAACACAGTTATGTTTCAAACAGTTCATATTGTAGGACACCTGGGCTCCTATAAATGTGTGTGCGTGTATGTGCGTGTGTATGCATGTGCACAGTGTGTGTGTGTATATGTGTGTGCCCTAGACTCCATATCAAGGCACATTGCAAAGGCTTAAAAGCCACACTAAAGGCAAGTCCCACAGTTTACAGGAAGAGGAAGACCTATGTGAGACTCTAAACACAATTAAAGCAGAAACAGAAATAAACATCAGACCTGCACAGGGGTAAATTTGTGTTTTGTGGTGTGTGTTTCTGTTTGTTTTGTTTTTGTCTTGTTAGTCACTAGAAGGTCAGAACAAGACCTGTGCCTGCTTCTTCAGCTTGGAAACACGTATTATTCCGGGCTAATATTTTTATCCCCAGCAGTAAAGAGCAGTTATGTAACACGGTACCTGATTCTTAGCAGGGTCTACTGTTTTGCTTACGTAATACATGTTGGTTCTGTCTGGCTGCTATGTGACAGGCTGGTCACATGCATTCCCACGATAGTATTCTAAGGTCAGAACCACCTTGTTTTCAGCAGGGGTAAGCCTCCCCTAACACTGTACAAAATTTAAAAAATGTATGTGAACGTCCACCTTTCTTTGTGGAAAAAGCCCATGATAGTTTCATAAGAGTTTCAAAGATGTGCATGAACTGATCATTATGGGAGCCAAAGTTTTCATACGAGGTATCTCCCCCCCCCCCCCCTTAGAATTCCTAAAGCTGGATAATTACTGTGCCCCTGCCTCTTCCCAAGACAGTAACATCAGGACAGAAAGCCTGGAGAAACAATACTCATCCGAGTCCACAACATAAGACGACAGTGAACCTGGGCAGAGATCCCGGAGGGCAGCAGGGACTTCTTCCTGGTGGTGTCGTTTACTCTTTAGTTCACCACCTGACACATTCATTAACATAGGGCCAGACCAAGCCGGCATTTTACTGGCTGAACACTGAAGCACGTTCGACGTTGAGTCCGCAATTTAGTTGGAACAAAAATAAGTGATCCGTTATTTGTATCTTAACCCTTTCTTTCAGAGAAGGCACTGCGCGCATTCTTTATGTGACTCTTCATTCCGCGGCAAAAATAACTGCAGCCAACAGTGATAGTAGGTATTGAAAGGCTGGCCGAAGTATTAATAGAACAAGAGAAAATATGCAGAGAGGTCTCATTATATGAGGATTCCCGTCTTTTATCCGAGACAGATGAGAGGACAAAGACCTGCTTCCCCTGGTGATGAACTGGAAAGAGATGAAAAGAGGAACTTGGAAAAGGTAACTGTTTCTTACCTGAGCGTTTCGCCATTTATTTAAGGGGAAACGGCCATAGGGAGTCACCTTAGGGAGGGCTATGGCTGGGCTGTTCACGGAACCCCGGGGCACTCAGCTAGGTACCATTTCCCAGCCTCCTTTGCGGTTCATTGTGACCATGTGACTGGCCTCTGGCCAATAGGAAGAAGGCAGAAGTGATGTGCTCCACCTGTAGGCTGGTCCATAAAGACCTACCTCCAACTCTCTCTTTCGCCATCCAAAAGATGTCAGAGCCTGGATTCCCGACTCACCTTTTAACACCTGATTAGACGTTACATACCTAAAAAAATAAACTTCTGTGTTAAGCTGCAGTTTGAAGTTAATTTGTTATAGCCACTCATTTTTCACCTGCCTAACACAGGAACTAAATAGATGACAGCGAATTCCCATCATTTGCGGTCGGTATGTTTTATCAAGTTGTCAGGATCTTCGAGTGAACAAACCCCAAACCACTGCTCCTAGGAGGTACACAGGGCTAGGTTCCTGTGGACAACTGGTTACAAGATTTTTGTCACCGCATTAATATGTAATCTTGTCCCACGTGTGTTCCTGCTTCAAGACACCTTATAGAGAGGCGTATGCTGTTGTTACGTGAACATTCATGCCAACAGCATGGTCCCTCGTGATGGAAGGAGGCTGATCTCATACACACACTGTCTCCATCAGGCACACCTCAGCCTCCCTCCACGCAAAGAACCCTGGGCGGAACCTGGACGTTACCCTTGGAGGCCATTAAAACAGGGCAACCGCTGGCATAACACCCACCTGTGGAAAGCATGGCCCTGCCCAGGATGTGAACAGACACTAGTTCACAGCACAGGAGCCGCCACGAGGAGGCAGGGGTCAGTCACGGGGTGGGACCTCAGCTGCCATGCCTGCATCAGAGCACTCAAGTGTCCCCCTACTTTGCACACATCTCCCAATGACCGCGAAGGCGCCTGTGAGGATTGACTTCGAGGTGACAAGTACAGTTTAGCAAGTGGGTGATGAGCGAATTAAGGAGCCCGTGAATGATGGCATCGACTGTGGAATTCTGGAACCGTTCCGTGTGGTCAGCACTGGGCCAGGCGCCGAGAGTCCACTGATCTGGTGAACCCTCCCAGCAGCTCCATGGAGACGCCGACATTTCCAGGGAGAAATCACACAAAGCATGCGGCTCCTACTAACCTTCAGAAGGTGCCTTGAGCTGGGTGAGAGCCCTCGCCCTTCTGATTCCCAAACCTCATCTCTTTGCTTTGCTGACCTGGTGTCATTCAGGCCATCTCACTTCTCTGCTTTCATTTTGCAAGGATTTAAAAATTGTGTCGAGGCCCTCTAGTGACAGGGACCTCATCCAGGCGAGTCTAATTCTGTCCCTCACTTCCCCTAAGTCCGTGGTCGGCAAACTGTGGCTCCAGAGCCACATGCAGCTCTTTGGCCCCTTGAGTGTGGCTCTTCCACAAAATACCACGGCCTGGGCGAGTCTATTTTGAAGAAGTGGCATTCGAAGCAGTTTAAGTTTTAAAAATTTGGCTCTCCAAAGAAATTTCAATCGTTGTCCTGTTGGTATTTGGCTCTGTTGGCTAATGAGTTTGCTGACCACTGCCCTAAGCCAAGCATCCTTGCTGCCCACCTCATCTATCCTCAGAAATCCGAGGATGGTGAGGTACCAAGGGCCTTCCGTCTTGCTGAAATCACAGGAATGGTTTTTCAAACGCTAAGATGAAAGGGTGTCTTTATGTGCGGCACTTGTTGGCTGCGAAGGCTCTTTCCTGACAGGGATAATAATTAAGCAATTACGGAGGAAAGAGTCTGTTCACATCTGACGGTCTGGAAGCGTGCAGAGTGCCAGGAAGTCGCAGGCACTCCCATGCAGACTCTGATTCATTGGGACTGAGGTGAGGCCGGAGATTCTGCATTTTGGACAATCTCCCAGGCTGGTCTGGGGACCACAGTGAGTAGCTTTAGGAGATGGAAGCACGTCAGAAAGACACAGTCTCCATCCCAGAGTCAGAATCATTTTTTTGGCAGAGAAGAGGACTTGGAATTTTCTAGGGTCACCAGCACACCAGCCTCCCACATTCAGCATTCCTGAGCCACACATGCCACCCCTTTTGGAGCCTGGGGCTCCGAGTCCTCACCAGCAGGCAGCCGGCAGAGGGATGGGGCCTGAGCGCAGTCCAGGGCCCTTGAGGCAGCTGCATGAAAAGGCCCCCGTGATGCACCCCCTGCCATCAGATGCTAAGAATGTGACCGCATCTGCCACATCCTCAGGGGTCCCCAATGGCCTACAAATGTCCCACAGATCAGAATCTTCGGGGGTGTCTTATCAAGTGACTGTTTTGCCCCACAGAGTTTGGAACAACCTGTTCCAGAACACCTGGCAGATGGAACTCTGCCCCACACAGTCAGAATTACATCCTTTCCCGAGCAGACCTCTCCCGTGGGCTCACTGAACATCAGCAGACTGGACCTGGGACACTGGCACACTGTACTTGCTTGGCACTGAGACACAGAGTGGAAGGGAAACCCAGCGGAGTGTCCACTCCCCTCTCACCTCGGTGACCCAAGAACGTCTGACGCCTGAGAAACACCAGCCCCGACACTAGCTCCCGAGGCGGCATCTGCTCAGCTCTAACCAGATATTATAGATAATCATCTGCTGAAATGCCCAAAGGATTGTCTACGTGAGTTCTGAAAGGAAAACGAACTTTAACCACACTCTAATATGTAAGTCACACCTACAATGAATTCATAAATTAGCTTCTTAAAATGAGATTTTTATTGAAATGCAAATTTGTTCCCAGATTATTCATTGAATTCATTATAATATTTGAACAGTATTTGGTGAAGAGAAAATCGGAGATATTGATAGTATTTATCATTAACTCGCATATTTATATTATGGCTAAATGCCATAAAAATCATATGAGTCCCAAGGGAGGAAGGAGAAAATAATGCTTTCCTGTCATTTATTGTTAACATTTTTTGCTGCCTTTGTATTAGCTAAAATAAGAACGAGGCTTATTAAAAATACATGATATTCATTATACACTTATAAGTAAGCT